TTACAAATGGTTAAAATGTGTGACAATCTGGCATTTAAAAGCTTTTTTGAAGGGTTGGGGGTAAATTGAATACAGTGTCCATTATATTGGTCATATGGGTTCTGATCAAAGCTTATTAATAATTTTTTCATTGATGATAAATAAATGCACATTCAATTTGCAAAAGGAATTTTATATTCCTCACAAAACAAAACGTATAGGAATCACCTTGTTCACCCATCCATATGTATGCAAAATTTTGACTTGTCCATAACATTTCAAATGATGTGACACTGAAAATTCATACTTGATATTAAAATTGCTTATGATCTAGAGATGTGTCCAAAACTTGACCCGAGGTCATTTGAACAAGTTCAAGCACTACTGGACGAAAAAAGTGCTGAGAATCCAAAAAAGCTAATACATTTATTAAAATTGCTATACTTTGACGTCAATATACAACATTTATCCTGCTTTTAGTAAAATGAAAAGCTCTGTTTTTCAATTTTGCAATGAATGTTCTTATTATAAGTCTAGTTCTTCGTAGTTTTGTTGTTCTTCTTCAATGTGCAGCTCATCATAGTCACATCTGTAGAAAATATATGAAGAATATTTCTCAAATAGAACTATTGAAGATAAAGTAACTTTTATAATCAAGCATTATATTGCACTAACATATAAATTGAATACATGTAGTTGGTTTTTTTCTATTCAAATCAACTGAATTGATAGCAATAATTGTCATTAAAATATTCGTTAGTGTTCATCTATCAAATTAAGATCCCTCAAAATGTGATGCATTTTACAAAAAAGAAAACCAAACTATTTTATGCATTAAAAAATAGAATAATTAAACTTTCATTTCAAAGTACAATATCTATTGACCCAGAAATTGATTTTTTTTAAATGATGAGTCGCAAATTCTTTTTATCTCATGTTTCCTCTTTTCTCCCGTGGAGATCACTCAGTGGGTTTTGTTATGATATCAAACAGTTGTGACATAACCATGGGTTTTGTGTGAGATTAATGAAGTAAATTTAAGTGAATTCTTGTATAAAACACCGTAAAAACATTTATAATGATGTATAATATTTAGGATATAATGAATATTCTATTGTATGTGGTGGATTATAATTTTAATATCCAACTCCTTGTGTGTTTTCTATCACCTCGACAAGACTTGGGGATAATAAATACACAGTGTGCTGGATAAAAAACTTATTCAAGCACAAATCATAGTGAATCCTATGTTACTCACATTTGTGTTTCACTTTTTTGTTTCAATTTTCCTCCTTCATTCAAACTCTCATCTTTCAACAATTCGTTTTGATTAGCACTTTGCCTATGAACTGCCATAGTGCATTCTGGTTCTTCATAAACCCCCCTAGAATAAGGAAAAAATATTTTTAATACTAATTGAGCTGCACTGGTGTTCAGCAATTTTAAGATTAAGGATATGGTGGAATTACGTTAAAACTCAGTTATACTTACTGTGAGTTATCTTCTGAACCTTTTTCACTCTGTACGTATATATATAAATGTGAAATCTTTTTAAAACATCTTTAAAATATTAATAATATGTGAAAAAAATATGAATCTGATATGAAAAACAAAGGAAACAGACAAGAAAAACAGGACATTGGGAAAAAACAAACACTTAAAGTTAAAGAAATAAAGTAATATGAATGAATATTAAAACGTCATTAAAACACAGGAACATAAAGATTTACCTCAATTTGTATTATTTTCCAATTACATTTAAATAATGTTTTATTAAAGATGCATATACAAAATAAAATGTCATAGAAAATATTATATATATTGAACAAGTAACTGAATCATAAATTATAAAACTACCTGTCTTCTGTTCACCAATCTCAGAATTTTGTTTAATTGGCTCTTCAATATATCGTTTGCTTGATTGTGATATACTGTAAAAAGTGATTTTTGAATAGTTGCATAAATTAAATGGAAATCATCTTATTGATAAAATTATCACATTGTATTACAAACATAGTAAGCATCTAAAAGGTAGCTGCTTGTTATATCTTAATTTTTTTCTTAGGTAAATTTTGCATGAAAACTGTTATTGATATTTGTCACTATGGCGTATCTATACTTGTGTTTCTTGTTAGAAAAAGTACCTTTTTGGGGCCTTTGATTGAGACTGCACTGAAAAAACAGTACAAAATGATACTTAGGTTCAAGGGTCATCCATCAATTAAAGGACACGTTTAAGGTATGAAAAAAAAATATTATTTTAAAATCTTGTTTTGCATTTATCTGAATGCTCTTTTCCGCTCTCATTGAAATAGTAAAAGAAAAAAAATCCGATTTAATTATACGAGAACTAAAGTGGTTTATTTCGTCTCTATCTTTGAATGCAATATAACCTGAGTTTACATTGTCCACGTCCTCTGGCAGTTGAAATCGGTTGTTGCTCCTGAAGTGTATGCAGATTTTTAACATTTCAATTATATATAATAGTTTCTAAGTAGTATCAAGCAATCAAACGTATCTATATGATTTTTAAATCACTTTAGAAATGAATTCAATTACACATTCTGCATTATATGAATAAAATATTTAAAACAAACTGTTAAACTGTCACGGGTCTGTAATTCACCTACCAATGATTACATAATGATTGTACGTACCTTTCAATCTTGATCACAACTCCTAAAATATGTTAATTAAAATGATAAATGAAGGTTTTCATAAAGCTTGCCAGCATATGTTTACCTTTGTTTAATTTTCGTCTATTCTAAAATATAGGCAAAAGGAATTACTATGATATTAATGTGTATTAAGAGCCTATCTAGTTTATTCTAAACCAAATTATTATAATTTATCTTATGGCTATTCGTCAGATTATACCTCTGCATTTAAAACTAAACATAAAAGACAAACCAAATATTGTCAATTCTCCTCTTCTGCAGATTACTATCACAAGAATAATTATTGTGATTAAAATCAAACACAGAAAGAAGGATAAAACGACTACAGAGGTAGCACTATCCCTATCAGAAGGCTTCCTTTGTTGAGCTGTTTGATGGGCTGAAATCAAAGAGAGGCGATTCTATGGAAGTATAAGGTATTCAAATGAATAATATTAAATTTTTAAATATGTATAGATTCTTTACCTCACGGATTTGTTTTTTACTATCAGCTGTATCAGTAGTCTGATATTAATTTATCAGTTCTCAGATGATATTGAATAATCAAAATTTTCTTCATAATAAAATAATATTCTTCTTTCGGTAAAGTCCAAAGCTCTATTTAGACATACGTCATTTAGAATTAAAGAAAACAAATTATTATTCAATTATTTAAAAAAAAAGTTATATATGTACCATTTATACGAACTGTAAGTCTTGAAAAACTTAATCCTGATCCACAGGGACTGTAAGAGGAAGTAGAAACTTCACAGAAAAAATGAACAACCTTGTCGAACTCCGTTATATGATAGGTTATTCGACTGAACATTATCATTTCCCCACCACTTTTATTTGTTGATAGATTTATTTCGTCTTCTTGTGTGACAATTTTTGTCCAGTTATCAGTGTATCTCTTCTTACCGCACCAGTTTATCGTCTACGAGATAAAAGATGAGTGAAGAAATTAAATATGAAAAGACATACAAATTTATGAATAAACCCGTTCTTAGTTAAAATCATAATCTCATTTTCTTTTGATTGTTAATTCAAAGGATATTGAAATTCACAAGAGGGTACAACCCTAATGTAGATTTTCCAAAGGGTTTGGAAAAGTTTTGGAATTCCATGGAATTCCAATCATTTCTATACCAAACGTCTGGAAGTTTTTGGAATATTATGGAATTTGAAAAAAAAATTGGACTTGGACATTTTTTGGTTCGGAAAGTAGTGGAATTCTTTGGAAAAAATGATGAAATAAGAAACTTAGCCATTTTCTGCGCTGGAAAACTGTGGAAAATTACTTAGAATTTTTTAACTGTCGAATAATAGTACAATAACATCGGGATCGAAGTCGGGCTCGATGAACAGTTAATTTCAACAACACGCTGAAATTCAAAAATATCGAATGCCATGTTGATGTTGCACAGAAGGAAAGTTGGAAAGAGGGTGTCTAGAACAGAGAAATCATGATTAGCGTTGGATGGAAGAAGATGAAGACATTTTAAGTCCCGGTAGGTACAATATTGTACAGTATTTTATGTGTCCTTGAATGAAGAACGCTTCTGCTACTGTCAGTACTGTTCATTAGTCTGGACACCACACATAAACTGCCCGACGGTGAAATCGTTAGTGCACTATTTCAATTTTGTTATAATTTAAGATCATGGAGTTTAACTCGAATTTCCTCGTTTGTGATCGAACTGATGTAAAGAGTTTTACCTGTACCTTCCTTTGTTCAAGATAACATTTACAGAGTGATGTACAATGTTATTAATTATATATTTTAAAGCATGTTCATGATCATTTTCAGCTCTTATTTTAATTATTTTATAGTTGCTGCATTGTGCCTGAGATGATCCCCACAGCGATGGCGTTTGATAACTTGGACAAGCTGGTGCACAAGGGCATCTTATCCACTCTGTTCTCTACTTCACATATAAAAATACACAAGGGAAGAATCGAAAGTAGCACACGATTTTTAAAAAAAGTCAAAAAACAACTTACTTGAGAAAAGTTACACAAATCCTGAAAGGAACTAGCGCAAATAATGTCCTAGTACTTATCCAGGCTAAACTATTCCAAATATATCCATTGAAAATAGCTTTTATCTAACGAAAATCCCAGCTTTCTGCACAGTGTGAAACTCTTCGCCCAAGAAAAGATAACTCACCCGGATGACAATAGGGTAGTACCCGAGGCCTTCCGAGTGCCATTGGAAGACTTCGTTTACTACCCTATTGTCATCCGGGTGAGTTATCTTTTCTTGGGCGAAGAGTTTCACACTGTGCAGAAAGCTGGGGTTTTAGCTGGATAAAAGCTATTTTCGATGGATATATCTGGAATATTTTAGCCTGGATAAGTGCTAGGACATTATTTGCGCTAGTTCCTTTCAGGATATGTGTAACTTTTCTCAAGTAAGTTGTTTTTTGACTTTTTTTAAAAATCGTGTGCTACTTTCGATTCTTCCCTTGTGTATTTTTATATGTGAAGTAGAGAACAGAGTGGATAAGATGCCCCTGTGGTTGGTGGATGTAGATGCTTAGCCAATCAGTCACTAGGCTTGTGAATATGGTGAGATCTAGCTCAAATTATCATTCAAACCAAGTAAACTAACTTTGATTTTATTAATCCATGTCTATTAGCATAAGATTAAAAAAAAATATTGCAAGTTTGCCATGTAAACAAAATTTAAGGTTTACATTCTTAACACGCTTAAATTCCTTATTTTAATAATTAAAAAAACAATGAATTCTGACAGGTAATCTAAACATGCTAACTGCACATGCATAATTATTTTAGATCAAACAGCAATCATCTACTATGAAGTATACATGCATTCTATAGGAATCTGGATGCTCACAAGGACAAGAGCTGTATGAAAAAAAAAACCAACAGGTCAGATTTCTTAATTATTTTCTAAATCAATAAAATCACATGAATTGAAATTATCTTTTTCAGTATCAGCTCACCTGAACCATTTAAAGGCCTTAGTGAGTTTTTTTTATCAGTGGCTGATGTTGTCTGTCGTCTATAAACTTCACATTTTTACATTTATCAGAATTAATCCTAATTTGAACAAAAAATTGCAAGATAGTGAATTCATATTCTACAGTAGACTGATTTGCCAGGTCGAAAGAACCAATTGTTTTGTATAGCTTTAGTTTATTATTTGTCATATATTAAATTAATTTATATGGATATCAATAATGATGCATCTTAATGGCTATCTTTTCTTTCAGAAATTGTGCAAGGAAAGTTTGAAGTGTCTGTGGGACTGGGAATGATCATCATCCAACTTTCTGAGCCTTCGTACTGAAAGTGAATGCATTCGTGACACCAATTATCTGTCAACCCTATAACATAACCATTTACTATTTTCATGGGATATATCAGTGAGGAAGTGATTCTCTGGCAAACACGTCAGAAGTTTTGGATCTTCATTAATTGGGATCTTTGGCACGTACGTTGGGGGATTATACTTTTAATTAGCATCTGTTGATTTTATGGGATCTGTGTATCAATATAGTTGTGTAGTACCTATTTTTTGCATTTAATACATGTGTTTGTCACTCTAGTCATTAACTTTGTACCAGTACATAAGCCACTGGCAGTTCATTGTAAATGTATACTCTGTTGATGTTTCAATGACCTCTCCAATTCCATGTCCAATGTCATTTAATAAAACTAACTTCTTATTTTAGTAAATGCAGACTGGTGTATACTAAATACATGTATATCTTAACATGATTATCATTAATTTAACTAAGGTTATTCTCCAGTAATCATATTCTTCTCTGGATATGCTTGTAAATAACCTTTGATGTAAATTACTTTCAGTGAGAACACATTTAAAAAGTGTGCTTATGTTGTACATCTGAGAGTATATATGCAATACTTGTCTCAAAAAAAATTGTAAAAGAATCAATGAATTTTTTATTTTGAAAATATAGATTTGATCTATGAAAAATTGTGATGTTAATGTTATAAAGTTTTTTTGGGAATTATTTGGCACTAATTATTTCAGTTTTCATTGTACATGTATTTGGAATCCTGGAATTCCATGGATTTCCATGGAATTCCTTAGATTTACAAATATCCTGGAATTCCATGGATTTCCTCCGCAAATTTCCATTCTGGTATTGTTCCGCTCTTTTCCAGGCTAGATTTGAAGTTCCGTCCCAATACTCCGGAGAATTCCTAAGAATTCTGCGGAACAAAAATTCCATGGAATTCCATGGAATATGCTTTGGAATTCCATGGAAGTTGCGGAAAATCTACATTAGGGAACCGATAATGAAAATAAAACATATCATTAACTACCCATGTGTCTCTCACAATCTTATTCTACTCTACATGAAGTTCTTTATAATGCAATTATATTACTCAATCCTTCAAATTTGTTAGCCCTTAGTACGTCGACAAAGGCTGAAGCATTCCGCTGATGTTTTCAAACTCTGCCGTCGATTTACTCTCAAAGATACTCGATCGGATATTAAAAAAGTCAACCGGTTGGATTGTGTGACTGTTTGCAATAAACCATTAACAAACACAACTAAATTTTACTGTGGGTGTCAACAACGGCGTCCTCGAATAAGAGTAAGACTGGGAAATATGACAAGCTTACAAAAATACATCCATTGGTTTCTTTCATTTGTTTTTAATGTTATCTTAATTGTTGTTTAACATAATTATATATCAGATTCCGTGGTTAAACCTTAACATTTATATAGGTTGCAGATTAAATAATTGCTTCTAAAACTGGCGCTTTTACGCGCCAAAGTCATCAACTTTATTTAAATTCCTCTCCGACGATAGAAAATGCTTTACAAGGGGGGAAATTAAGAAATAAACACTCTAGATGCTTAGTAAATATCGAAATCGCAGGGCAAAATGTGAAACCGAAAAAAATGTGTTTGCATTACATGTCATTAATGATTTGCACGTAATTTTTGCGTTTACTTCTTTATCTCTTGATGCCATACATTTCAATGTTGTTAATTGTGAACATCGGCTCTAGTGCATATAAACCAGGAAGCACATCGGCCCATTTTCATAATTTCAAACCACACAGTAAAAAAAATGCTAGTTGTCTCAAAATTTGAAAAAAATTCTCTAGAGGGACGTTAAACAAGAAACAAACAAGCAAGCAATAAATAATAGATTACCTGTCCGTTAGATGTGAATGAGGAAGCGCTACAAAATAAATGAATTGTTCTTCCAAATCCGTGAGTGGTGAAATTTTGTTCGTCAACAACCCCATTGTCGTCGTATATCAAGATGGGAGATAATTTCCACTGTCCATTTGCTTTTCAAAATTAAAATGATAATGAGAAGGTAAAGAAAAATCATAAAGTAAATTTAACAATGAAACACTTTTCAGCTGAATCATAATTGTTAATAAAATAATCACCTTCAGTCAAAGTTTTTGTTTTTATGAATAACGTCGAATTTGCACTTCCTTTTCCACATTCACTCGTGTATTCGTCGTAGCCTGATTCACACATAATTTCTAGGTATGCATCACTTTGCATGATGTGGTAAAAGATCTCAGATTTTTGTATATGTTTGCATCGATCTTTGCTTCTAAATACTGGTACGATATTTGGAGGTTCTTGTAGCGATATTTCAGTAAATTTTCCAGAGATATTCTTGCACCATCTAATATTCTTTTTAAAAAGTTAAAAATCACTCTTAAGTTTTAAACGAATGTTATTTGAATCGTTTAAGCATCACCCGATGTTATTAATTTCATTTATTCCTCAGATATGGTTTACTTTGATATACTTTTATTTCGCTTGAAAAAGATATGAGGTGCATTTTGTAGATCAGTTACAGAAATGATATCAGTACATCAGACTTTAAAGTTTTTTAAAAAAAGTACGATCAATCTGTAGAAATTCAATAAAATCCACAGAATAAATAAAAAATCTTATCGTTAAGAACAAACAGACATAAGTTTAGTCCTAAGTTTTGATTTAGTTTATGAAATATCGAAATGAAATAAAGAGTTCATAGTCATTGAAACTCCTTCTGTACTTTAGCGATGAATTTCTATAATAAGACCTTCAAAAAAATATGTTTGTGTTCTAATGCTTCAATCCATTTATGGAACTTTGGAAAGGAAAGTCAAAAAAGTAATGAAAAGATGAAGACTGCACATAGTGATAGATCTTTTTAAAATCTACAAGCAATTTATAATTCTTTGAATAGCTAGTATAGGTTATAAAACGGAGATGATTTGAAATTCAACAGGTAAATGGGATGTCTAAGAGAAGTAGCATCTTTTTTGACAACAAATATCCCGAGAGCACTAAGTATTAGATATATAGATGGAATATTCTCTAGTTAAACTTTATGATTAAAACAAACTTAATTAGACTTAGGATTTGGTATTTTAAAAATTCAGATTACATCAACAAGAGCACTATAAGATCAAATAGTTAACGAAATGATGACTTTCAATACAATTCTTTGATATCCCTATTGCACCAACTTTTTTGACAAAAGTCTGATTTCTATTATTGATTACAATACTCCTGAGATTCCAGTGATTGTTTGATTCTATAATACCTTAAACAGATGATAACAAGATGGTAAGGAAATATCACTCAAAAAGTAAGGATAGTTGATAATATAAAAATAACTGTCATTATCTCCTTTGTCACACAATGCAGGCATTAGTTGATTGTTATCAATTAGAGTCAGTAAGAGTTCCAAATGTGAAAAAGATGTATCGAGTATACGATAATCAAACAATAAGACAATGGTAATAAATGGATCGTAAACTAAACAGAGGAGGATCGACATCAAGTAATGCATTTGAAATCATTCAAAAAATACCTCCCTACTTTAATATTGTCAATAAAATCGATTTTTACTTTTCTTGATTTTAAAGTAAAAACTTTTCATTCGTTTTTAGAGAGGGGGGGGGCATGTACACTATCCAAAAATTCTTCTTGAAAACTTGATACCATCTCAATCATAAAATAAAACAAACGTTTGACTTACTTGACTTGGAAGGCCATTTATGCTTTTAACTTCTCCGGTGCATTTAAGCTGTATCACGTCTCCTGGTTTTTGTCCACTGCTTTTAATTATAGTTAAGTCCTGAATTTTCTTCGGAGATTGGCCTGTATAATAAAAAAAATAATAATACGAGATAAATGTTGCTATTTAAAATTGACTTATTTTTTTTAATTAAATACAGTTTGTGCTAGTTTTCTTGAATATTGTTTGTTATCTCCATATGCTTCATTATTACATATGATACATGCATTTAAAAAAATTATCACGTCTACATAACAAAAATTTTACCTTTAATCGATATGATACTTTTTTCTAGACTTCTGAAAATCTCACTTCCGTTTGACACTCTACATCGGAAGATGGAGTAGAGGTTTTGGTCAATTGCACATCTGCTCAGAATTAGAGACACTAAAATCTCTATGTTGCAAGATAAAAGTACCTCAGATTCAGGATAACATTTATCAGAAGTGATAGAATAAATTTCCAAGTTCTGATAAGTTTTCAGGATGTAGGATCCTGTGACGTTAATCATTGCAACTTCTTTCCAGTCTTCTCTGGTCTTGCTTTTCCTGATTTCCATAACCATTTCAGGAATTATGTTATCTTTATTGATATATTCATTGAAGTTGCAGGAGAGAAAAACGTTATTTTCCCCGATTTTAGTCGACGCACTGACAGACAAGTGCCAATTTCCTGTATGATTGATATACATTTCGATAAGATAAACCACTATTGTTACAAATTGATGCAATTATATATTATCAAAAATCCTTACGTACCTCTACAAAATGGACAGAAAAAGAAAAACAAAATCACCACACACATGTACATAGCTAAATGAAGGAAGTAAACTATTCTGCGATGTCCCTTGAACTGAACTGCTGATAAAATATCTTTGTAAATGTTTTAATTGGTCTTCAACCGAGATTAAAAGAAGGGCAGTATGGTAGTTCTAAAAATGGAAGATATGCCTCTGAAACCCGACTGTTTGGATATCAGCAGAAATAAATTCATAAGTAAACATTTTCTAAGTATATAATTTTTTAATTGGGAATCATATAAACGTATGGATACATTCAATGTCTTTGACTATCTTTGATAAAAAGTCATGATGATGGATCAATTATACATCTACTTTAGAGCTTCAAACATAGAATGCTTTAGAACTATTGGTTTTTTTTTTTTAATTATTATAAAATGTTGATAAATTTGCTTTTTTAATAATTATTTTTTATGAGTTCGGAGGTTTTGAAATGCTTTAAATTTGAAAATGCTGCCCAACTGGTCAAGTTGAAAGAGTTTAATTGTCTTTTACCACTAGGTTGTCAGATAGCTTGTTATTTGCTTATTTTTAGATATTAATAAGAATAAAACTTCCAGGAACTCCAATCTATATGTGTATGTTTATTCCTTGAATTTTTCTCCAAGATGTTTTGCGAAGTTATGTGCTCTTATTGTTGACCACGGTTTTAATTAACAGAGAAACTTCGTCGGAGAATTGTCCTCACAAAACCCCAAATCAGCCATAGACGCACCCTATCACTGAAATGCGTAAAATTATGTCCAGCGCTTGCGATGCTTACATCTTAAATTTCAACATATCCTTACCTTACAGTTTAAACAGAAATTATACTTCCCTCCATGTCACTTTTAATCAAAACATAAAAACACTGATTACAGACATTAATAAAACAAGCAGTGCAAATTTTGGCGCATATCTAAATAGGCACAAATTTGTTTATGTTTACAATAAGTACCAATAAGTAACAAACAGTGCAGATTTTGGCGCATATTTAAATAGGTACGTATACAAATTTGTCCATGTTTCCAATAAGTACCATTAAAAGAATATACAGATATTTCTAAAACCCTGCATATACCTTGCGTAATCTGTCTTACAGATCAACATGTATCATCTTATGAAAAAAGTAAAACTAGAAGAAAAGGTAGCGCGTGTTTACATTTATTTTAATTGTTATATTTTTACGTCATTAAGGATGTTTTTTGTTCGATGTTAATATAATTTATGTTCCTTTTTTAGCTCACCTGAGCTGAAGGCTCAAGTGAGCTTTTCTGATCAAAATGTGTCCGTTGCCTATCGTTGTCGTTGATGTTGTCGTTGTTGTCGTAAACTTTTCACATTTTCATCTTCTTCTTAAGAACCATTGGGCCAATTTCAACCAAACTTGCTACAAAGTATTCTTGGGTTAAGGGAATTCAAATTTATTCAAATAAAGGGCCACACCCTTTTCCAAGGGGAGATAATTATGAATTAGAGAAAAATTAATGACATTTTTAAAAAATCGTCTTCTCAAGAACCACTAGGCCAGGAAATATAAAACTCATGTGCAATCATCCTCAGGTAGTGTAGATTCAAGATTGTTCAAATCATGACCCACGGGGGTAGGGTGGGGCCAAAATGGCCGATCAAAGTTTTACATAGAAATATATAGTAAAAAACTTTAAATATCTTCTCAAGAACCACTGGACCAGGAAAGATGAAACACAGGTGGAATCATCCTCAGGTAGTGTAGATTCAAAGATCAAAATATAACCCCCGGGGCTAGGGTGGGGCCAAATTGTCCGACCAAAGTTTTACATAGGAATATAAAGAGAAACCTTTTAAAATCTTCTTTTCAAGTATACTTCAAAGCCATTATTAGTAATATTTATATGGAATCATCCTCAGGTAGTGCAGATTCTAATTTGTTCAAATCATGATCCCCTTGGGGGTTAAAATTCAAGCCCCCTCCACCCGCCCTCAGTAAACTTTCAGTTCTGATCTGATATGTGTTTTTTTTCTAGCCAATTGCTCAGGTGAGCGATGTGGCCCCTGGGCCTCTTGTTTAATCTTCACTGGTTGGGTACAATTAAATGATATTTGTTATTGTTAAAACTCTATTTCCTTTTGTTTAATTTAAAGCAAATAATATTGGACAATTAACTATTTATAAATATATTTTATCTGAGAACCATACTCAAGCAATCTTAGGTGAACTAGAGGTACTGTGAGCAATGAGCTCACTAAATGATACCCCCCCCCCCATCTCCCATATCGTTATAACTGATGACAAAGTCCATGTTTTGCAGTGGCCGGGAAACCCAAAATATGTGTCAGATCAAAAAGTAAAATAAGAGGTGCACAATGGCAATATGTAATAAAGATTCTGTGAAAGTGTCATTAATTTTCACTCAGTAGTATAAGAGAGTTGCGGATAAGAGATGGGTACCCTAAAGCGTAACAGACGGACGGACGGACGGACGTACAGACGGACGGAATTAACTATTATTATATACCCTCCCGCTTTTCAAGCGGGGGGTATAAAGATGGTGCTAATTTCATGATTTCTTTTTTGAATGAGCAAATTATTTTGATAAGCGATATTCATAAAAAACAATACTTTGGGGACACTGAATAATTTGTATCCAGTAGGATACAATTACTGAAATCTTCCTTATTGCAAAACATCCTTTATAACTCAATTTACAAATATTTTACAAGAGTGATTCAAAAGTTTGACTCTCTATCTCTATCTCTCTCTGATTCTTTCTCTCTATTTTCTCTAAAATGTAAAAAAATAACTTTTCAGTCAAAAAAATATCCTTGCAACACATATTTAAGTAAGTGAACATATTAACTTAGCAGGTAAAAAATCTTAAACCTCCCATTTCTTGCATGTGTTATCTGTGACCAATTTAGATAGAATAAAAAAAACCCATAAGTACATGCACTTGAAATCACAGATTACGTGCTTCATATGATTTTTTTTGTCATCATATGATCATGCATATCTGGCAATTGGCATCCAAACATGTTTTTGTGTTGGGGGTATAATAATTATTAATTACTTAATCGTTCCTTAAATCCAGGTCATTTCATAATAGGGAAGTCATTTACTAGGAGCTCGTCCTATAAATCGCATTCATTATGCATCATTCTTACTAAAATCGAATAAATTTATCTTTAACTTTAGAATAAATCTACTCTAAACATATCTCGAAAAGTAGGAAAAATACTTCCTGTTGATTAGCGACCAAGATATGTCATCTGCGTAATTTCAAATGAAAGTCACGGGTCTTTCGGATATGACCTTAAAAACGTAGGTCCCGTGTCACGGTAGGCGTTGGCACGATAAAGAACCCTCACTGCTCAATGGCCCTGAGTGCCGAGTATAGGTCTAAATTTGAAGCCCTTCACCGGCATCGGTGACGTCTCCATATGAGTGAAAAATTCTCAAGAGGGATGTTAAACAATATACAATATACAATCAAATACAACCCATAGGTACAAAAAAACTTAACCTGCTCCAAAACGCTACCCTCTGTTAAAAATCTGAAAAATATAGACCTTAATCATCTTCTGATCAAGATTTATAGTTCTTCAATTATCATCAATGTCAATTACCAAACTTAAATAATATCTCGCTTTGCTCTGTTTTGGAAAATGTAGATATGAAGCGGAATCTGAAGAAAGACTAGTAGTATACATCCCAAGAATAATTCAGGTAATCTTTTAAAAAAAAAGATGTTAGAGAGTTACCTATTGACTGGTCTTGCCAATTAACTTTGAAAACTTTTTACTCATCTTGAAATAATGTTCATATATACAGCATCAAAATGATGTTTATACTAAACGTTGGGTTATAAATACAAATTTGGACAAATTAAAATATGTGTAGAATTATTAAATAAATATGGGGAATAACAAGATGTAAAGAAATGTAGAAAACATAAGTTTTTTTAATCCAAGGTTGTGCTCCCTGGTCCATTGCTTATAACACATAAACAACTATTTAAAAGGGAAAACTCATGATTTATAGTTTGCTCTTTAGAAAGAAAAAATAATGCTGACTTACATTTAATGTTTTAAAATTCATGGAGTACATCAAGCGGTTTTATACTTATGACGTTAGACAAGAATCTTTTAAATAATCCATCATATTGTAATCGAGGGAGGCATATTTCATGTAGCTTGATCTATGAAAAGCTTATAGTTTCATGAAAATAACTTGCACATTATTATACCCCCCGCTCGAAAAGTGGGAGGGTATATAGTAATCGGGATTTCCGTCCGTCTGTTACTCTTTATCTCTTATCCGCAACTCCTCTTATACTACTGAGTGAAATTTAATGAAACTTTCACAGAATCTTTATTACATATTGCCATTGTGCACCTCTTATTTTACTTTTATATTCGATACGTATTTTAGGTTTCCCATAACAAAACATAGACATTGCCATTATTACCGGCCGCCAGGAGGCGGTCGGTTATATGATATGAAAGTTTGAAGTCGCTGTGCGTTTCTGCGGAGTTAAAACAATTTAGATAAAAATTATTTAACATTAATATAATAGTATATATTAAAAAGAGCGTCTAAATGTTCAACAAGAACGCACAATAAACATAAAATTAAAAATTCTTATGAAGAATGAGGTAAATATTTCATCCAATCCTGATTGAGAAACTTTGACATGTTTGATGTGCGGAGAAAATTAGGACAGTCTAAAGCACAGACCACGTTATGTACATTGCCCAAGTTTACTTTCTCAATTTTAACAGGATTTGTTGTACGTATTTATTTTAAAATGACGTGTACACACGTACATATATTAACATTTTCAAAAATATGGTTAAATGTTAGTTCATCAAAAGACCTTGCAGGCTACAGAATATTACAAAATGTGGCCATTAGCAGACGAGGATAATGCACGTTTTACAATGTGCCAAGAATTTTCCCGCTACAACTCAAAGAAACTGAAAGAGAAGATTTGTAGTGGCGGATCTAGAGGGAGTATCATGTTGTAAATTTTGAATTTACTGGTTGGAGGTAAATGCAAAATTTACAACATGATAACTTTATTCACCTATTCATGCATTCACCTCCCACTAGTAAATTCAAATTTTACAACATGATAGGAGTATAGTTTTTACCTGTAAGAGAGAGCAAGGAGTCCCACATATTTGCTGCGTTTTTATACAATTAAAACTACACTTCATATCTAGTTGTAGATTACATTAAACTTTAGTTTTAAACTTTTAATATAAATGCCTCTTAATTAAACAGGCCCACCGTTTGTTGACGCAGAGGGCCAGGGGTACTTTGCTTATACATGTAATTCTGAACATGCATTATATAATTAAGAAAATCATGCAATGTCGTGCACAAGCGTTTAATGTCACGGATATATATTAACAGATAAATATAAGATATTTTAAAAACAGATCACCATTTCAGTCTTTAGTTGCTTCATAAAAGGAACAATTATTTGGTTTGCGGCCGATTTTTGACGCTTGCGTCAATATATGTTTCTTGTATATTTACCTATGACGTGACATATAGAAGCTTCTGGACAACATTTGATGGGACGAGTTATTCCTCTTTACACATTACCGTAAACAATATATAACAACACATGGACATTATTGGAGGTGGGGGGTCTCATTTAGTGAGCTCATTGCTCACAGTATCTCTAGTTTTAAAACAGACACGAACATCGAATCTGACAATGACGTTCAGCATGATATTATCTCTTCTTATCAGAACAAGGATTAAAAGGGGATGACAATTTGGCTTACCAATAACAAAATTATCAAAGATGAAGAAAAACAAATCAAAGAAGCAATAGTATTCATTTTTTATTGAACGTTACATAAAATAACAATTTTACAAGCATTTTTTGTTGTTGTTATATTTAATAGTATAAACACAAAAAAGTGTAAAAAAAAAATAATACTAATAATAATACTTATAATTGCTATAATACTGTATAAATAAAGTTCCCTTCTTCTCGAAGGTACATCTAATTCTACTAGGAGTGTGCAGAAACACTCTAAACATGTTTAGAAGATGAGTCCTTCTGAATCTGTTCTTGAGTAGTTCAAGATTGACGAGGTAATTTTGTCATCGGGAAAAGGAAGATCCTCTTTGAAGGCTTTATTAAATATTTCAGCCAGATCTTTTCTGTTGATGATCATTAATCCTTTATGGATTCTACAATAAAACATAAACTTCTGAACACCACTGCAATTTGCAAATTTCGTCTTCATGAATCAATCGTACGTCAATTCTTTAGCAGGGTTTTATGATTCGAAGAGTTACTGCTTTATGGAAATGCAATGTGCTAAACTTCTTGATAAAAATATTAAGTGCATAATTTTTTACTTACTTTCTGATTCTTACTCTACTATGCTTAGATCCTCCCCAAAGACGAAGCAATCTAAAGGTCAATTCCTTAGCAGGATTTTCTGCTTCGAAGAGTTCCTGCTTTATGGAGATTGGGAGGCCCATCTGTAGTGCAAATAGACCAGCCTCGTCCAGAGTAAAGCATTTACAGAGTGCATTTATACTGGAAGGGTTCAAAACAGAATACGTAACTAAAATATAAAAAGAAGTAAATTTTCAAAGATCGTATATTGGCATTAAATATGAACAAATTACGAATACAAAAAAAGATTGAAAAGAAAATGGGTATGTTTGAAATTACAACATTTTAAATTTTTTAATGATTATTTTAAAGTAATATTCAGAAAGTGTTTTTCCTGTGAACAAAAGCACTTGAAAATTGCATCAGGTAAAATGGATATTTATCATTTTATCTTCAGCGCATCCTTACTTATTTTAGCATTTAAGCCGGGAATTCCATTTCATGATAGTTCTCTACAAATGGACTTAGGTAAAATGTTACGTAAAATCTTTGTAACAAAAACCCTCCTTCTTCTTAAAGTGTTTGGTATCAACATTTATCTGTCAAGACCTATCATTATCCTAAAACGTCCTAAATAAGACCAGTCTTTTTCATCTACAAATTCTTGTTTAGAAAAATTGCTCATTGATAAAATTTCACACAAAAAAAATTCTGGAAAGAATGTCTTACTTTCAGTGTTTTCACTTGCAGCCACCTTTTTAAATTTCTCGTTCTCTTCCTTCGCCTCTTCGGATAACTCTGAATAAAATATGTAATAAAACAAACTAAATCTCAAGTCATCAGAACATGATAGATATTTACTAAACAACACATGCATTTAAGACTTAACAGCAAATTCATTGATTACTGTAGATTCCTAATTATACGCGAGGAATTATTTTCCTGCGTAATTTCGCGAGAAGCGTCAGTCGCGAAAAAATATTATTCGCTTTTATATTTATGGTGCTGAAATCCCTGTAAATTCTGTTGATCAACCGTCCATTCGCGAATTATAATTCTCGCGATTTGACGTTAAAGACCCAGTTCGCGATAAAAAGTACTCGCGAAAAATAAGGAATATACAGTACTGTAAAATCTTATGTTCGTGGAATAAAATCTGTGCTTTCATCCTGACGAATGACTTTGGTCAGTGGGGTTTTAATTTGACTTCATTATAATTTTCAATACATGATCTCTTATATTTTGAATTGTTCAATAGATACTTAAACTAGACTACTATTTGTTATCGCCATATATATTTGTATCTCAAAGCTACGTTGACATAGGAAAACATCAAACAAATGATCGATGGCGATGTTAAAATAAAAATCAGTACATAAACATGGACACAGAGAAATTTAAAAGGTGGGATCAGGTGGACATGTGGAGTAAAAAGCTTCCCCCGTAACCAAATCGCAGCCGCCTTGAAAACTTTGTATTAATCAACTAGACAGAACATTTCGTAGTGCCAGTCCAGTATAAAAACAGAAAACTAACACTTGCAAATTAAACAAGTACATGCAGTTAAAAGACAACCGACTTGTAGGATACATTTGGTAACAAGCTTATGGTTTAGTAACTCCCATATATAGAGGATGATGAAATTCCTGTAACATCAAATTATGTGTGAGAAGTCGATTTCCGTTCAAAAATACATCCAATGTAGAACATGCTCACGCATGGAAAGTACATGTAAGTATGTGTAAGGGACTTATTAGTAAGCAACATATATGTAGGTGATAGCGAATTTTTGCTAAAAAAAAAATAAGGAATGAAGATTGGAAAACCTGACGTCATTTCGTTTGTTAAACAATTCAATTGTCAGTTGGCTCACATGGAATGTCTTGCTGTGTATTTGAGAGAGAAACGTTCTGTAAAGAACCCATAGGATTACTAGTATATAGCCATCCATCTCTACTTACTTATGGCCAATAATACTATAATCTAAAGGTACAAAATAACCGTATTGTGGAAGTGTGTCTTTAAAACACATGGCGCCGCTTTACACACGACAATGTACTATCAAAGATGCATTTAGCAAAAATATTATTACCTGTTAAGCTCTCCACAGATCGTTGTGAAGCAGGAGAAACTGGCAGTGGCTCTACTGCCTCTGGTTCTAGGGAAGGTACACAGAAAAAAAGAGAAAAAAGTTAGCAACTTAAGTTAAGTTGTAAACTATTAGATATTTTTATAAACGTTACAAGTATACGTAACAGGTTTTTGATTGTTGATTTTTATTTGTGTATCCAATCTCTGACTGGTCGAATAATAAGTTATTCACGTATTAAGGCATTGATAGTTTAATTCGTTGCCGATCATGTAACAGAATCCCACATGCACATCCCTGTTTTTTCTTGTTTTTTTTTATATCGATGTTTACAGTATGTTTTTTTTCTATATTGTGTAATGTTAAATGAAGAAAAGCAAAAGTTTTTTTTTATGTAAAACTTATATGATGAGCTGTTCCTACTTGTTGTGTTTTGACTTCATTTTCTAATTATTTTATGTTCGGTGAAAAGGTGAAAAAGAACATAAAAGCATTTATCAAAAAGTGTTTTAGTTGTCCCCAAAACCTGTAGACTTAAATCATTTCTTTACAGAAATCATATATCTATTTAAAAAATTTCTGGTAGGATAAACTATGTTGCTGCCTAATGAAATATTAAGTTTCAAAATATATTCTTGAAAATAATCCCATTTGTAAGAAATATAGCATTACCGTTTCCTAATACCAAGAGCAATCTACGATTTTGAGGGAGTAATATACTATATTGGTATAAAAATGTATTCAAAAAAGCTGCGATACCTGTTATGATTTCCATAGACTGGTGTAAAGATGGTGACTTCACTACCTCCGGTTCAGGGGTAGGTGCTTGTAAAGTCAAAATATATGGCTGTCATTTTATTTATTCAATAACAGTTTGAATAGCTCATATATTTCATTTAAATTGGGTTTTTTCTTTTTAGATAATTTCAATAATTTACATTTGAATTGTAGTTTAGGTTTTTAAAATATAACTCAATATACAATTTATATTTACACTTACAAGCAGATAAATTAGCTTAATTTTCAAGAATATGGAGTCGGTTTAGAAGTACTTACGTGATGGAAACTTTAGATTCACTCCCATGTCAGCGAGTCTGGAATATTCTAATTTTTCCCGCTTTTCCGCCTTTATTTTCTGTGATTGGAAGCAAAACAGCATATTCTCCGTAACTATTATCTTTTCCTCATAAGGCACAGTAATACCTCTGTGAATTTGCATTCTAATTTTCGGTTCTTCTACTTCGTCTGTTATGATTCTGGTAACAATATGGTTAATTTTTCGTTTCTTGTGAAACTCTAAAATTCTTTCGGTCACTGATTCATCATCGAAGACATTTCCTCCAAATTCGATCTGAAAAAGATAAATGATACAACGTAATATGGTGCTTTCATTTCTACTGAAAGGGTAATTCAAAAACAAATGGTATAATATCAACATTTCTAAATGTTGAGGGAGAGCTGATACTATGCAAGAAAATAGTTAATTGATAACGAGTTATTCTGAAAAATTCATTTTTATATCAGTTTTTTATTATTCTGAAGGAAAAAAACACTTGCATTTAAATTTTTGAAAAACAAAATTAGAACATTCATTATATCTATTTTAAAAAATGCTCAAACATGCATCAAATCAATGCATTTGAGATACCAAAAAATCTGTCATAATATGCTTGCAGCACTTTTGAAAAGCATTAATGTCAGTATAAATATCATTATAAAACGTCATTAATCATGCATTCATAGCAGAGTTTTTATATACTTCGTGTCTGGGAAACGAAGGTATGAATAAAAGAAACCTCTGCACCTTAAATATTTCTTCTGACTTAATTTCGTAGATGTCGGACACTTCCGGCGATTCGTATCCCTCGTCCTCCCAGTATTTCTTTCTGTCCGATAATTTCTTCTCAGTGAAAATTTCAATGACGACATCAAAGCTCGTCTATTTTATACCAAGAAAAAATTGCCTTAGACCATTCATGCATGTTCTAATACTATATTTTGACTCAAGAATACATGTAGATGATATCTTAATGTTTATAGGTATAATGATATATTTTTTGCACATTTATGTTTTCATTTTGTAAAGTATTTGTTTTTCTTGTATTCCATTTTTTTTTATTTTATGCTACCTTAAATCTGTATTTTTTAAATCTGAATAACGTCTTACGTTGTTTTCCCATTTCGTCATGATAAAGAAGTGGACGTTTTTGGTTCCACGTCGTGTCTGATTTATTGTGTCCACCACTTTCTGCAGCTGTTGTTCAGCTATCTTTTTCTTGGTCACTGCATAACTACAAGGATATCATTTTGATTTTCTGTTGTATATATGTTACACAAATCATTGTTCGTTGTTAATATCTTGTATTGAGCTTTAAACAAAAGAACTATACTAAGACTTCTAATTATAGAGCACTTGAGCAATATTTTGTACTCTCAAATGTTTAAATTCTTACTGACACTTGAAAATTATATTTCAATATTTACAATATGAAGATAAGGACAATCTCATAAACCCAATAAAATAATGATTGGTTAATATGACAAAATCATGTACACTTGGAGAAACCTGAGATAGGGTCAGGTTCCTAGAAATATTAAACATCTCCTGCTTAACACTTATAATTTCAAAGGTATAAAAGAGTATGATAACATGAATAGGAATGAAGAACATGATTTTCATCTGGTACGGTTATTCAGATGCATATACTTGGCCATAAATAAGAAAGTATAACAGCCAAAACAAGCATATTTTTTAAAACCATGTAACATTTCTTTTTTTTTTTTTTTGTTACCTTAATCAATATTACGCTTTCTATGAAAAGAATATAGGCAAAGTGCTTATTTTTCATTTTAATTCCGTAAGAAATATCAAACAAAATACTGCAAGAGTGATTTCTTCCTTAACATTCAAAAATATAAACATTGTGTAAGATTAGTCATTGTATCTGTTCAATGTAGAAAATACTTTTGTAAAATCTCCTTTTCAAAAAAATCCTTTTTCAAATTTGAAGCAACATTACAAATGTTAGCTTTGAGTCCAAAAACTTCTTAAGTGGATCATTACAATTACAAATTACAAATACAGAGTTACAAATCTGTGAACAGAGCACAACATTAAGGGAAGTGTAATTCCATTGCATGTTTGTGTGTAGTACAAATATTTGACATGAAGTGTAAAAATACAAACGGAAAACACAAATACCTATAAACTTTTAAAAATTTCAAAAACTTAGTTTAAAAACTCCAGAGAAATGTAACAATTTATTCATATACATGTATATTATGTGAATACTTGGCAAATTATTTATTTAATCAATTCAAAAAGGCTTAGAAAAAGGAATAAATGAACGCATAAAATGATAAAAAAGGAATTTTTTTTAATGAACTTGCAAATTTTAACTCATAAAGCATTTCTTAACGATTTGTATGAATAGTCATGATTATAAATATCCAGAAAAACTCTACTGATTCAGAATGAGGTAGTAAGAAATATCAAAATTCACATATAAAACAATTTTTAAAAAACACACATTAGACTGAGTTCTTATTGTACATGGATCTATCAAAAGCAATTTCCAAAAAAGCGAGAAATAATTTCAAGTTTCTGTTTCAAATAATAAATAATATTCTGTGAAATGTTATATATTTTAAAAAAAATCAGAACAATAAACGTAAAACAAATACAAAAGAATGCCTTTGCCTGAAGTTTTCAAAATAAAACAGATCATGCATTCTGACTTATTAATTCAAAAGCTCTCAGGCTTCAAGGCAGATCTTGTTCTTTATCCATATGGAACTCCCTAAAAAAGATTGAAAATCATTAGTTGCCTCGTTGTGAGCTCTAGCTCTGAGGGCTCCATTGTTTTTTGTTTTTTTTTTTTGTTTTTTTTTTTTTTTTGTTTGTTTTTTTTTTTTTTTTTTTTTTTTTTTTTTTTTTTTACAGTGTATCATTTTTAATGTATAAAGCAGGGGAGAGTTAAACATTTGAACTCATTTGAGACGAACTTACGATGGTAAATGTTGCAATGTAGAAAGTCATGACAAATCTCCTGCAGTAGAAGATCATGTGTCCTGCTCAATTGTCTGTTCCTCTGTCCTTTCTTACTGTCCTTCAGTCGGTTCCGCTTTGCTGCTTCACTTCCTTTCATATGCTTCATTACATCAAGCTAATGTTCGGCATGTCTTTTATCTAAAGGAGTTCAAATGTACAAGGTAATGATTCTCAACAAAACAGCTATGTGAAGGGGGATAAAATATGGACTCCTGGAGATTTAAGAAGTGGGATCCAGTGCTTAGGAGGATAAAGCATCCCCCGTTGACCAATCATATCCACCGGAAGCCCTATGTATCGATCAGTCAGATGGAAATATCCATAGTCATGCAATCAAATAAAACAGGCCTAAGAAATGGTATGAAAAAAATGCAATCGCATGAATCGAATTTGTATTTCTATCTGCGTTAGAATATTTGAAGGTTAAACGACCTTTTATTTTTCAAGGGAATCAGATTACTCTTTTAACTAATGCATTTGTTTTGTGCTTATGTAATCCTATCAAAATACCCGTGCATTTTAAAATGCTTTGTTTTACTTGTTTAATCGAGAATATCGATTGTTACTATGCCTTTAAGACATGAAGATATGCATATTTCTGATGAGTTTCAAGTTTAGGAAGATACTATCCATGATGAGTTGTATCGTGTGGTATGGAACGCCGTCACTGCCTTATAGCAGAACACAACAATTACATTGCGTGAACCTTCCATTACATAATGTCAATTCTATATGACATTTACTCACACTACTATTACATTGTGTCAACCTTCCATTACATTATGTCAACTCTTTATGACATTAACTCACACTACTATTGCGTTGTGTCAACCTTCTATTACATTATGTCAACTCTTTATGACATTAACCCACACTACTACTGCATTGTGTCAACCTTCCAAATACATTATGTCAACTCTTTATGACATTTACCACTACTATTGCATTGTGTGAACCTTACATTATATTATGTTAACTCTTTAAGACATTATCCCACACTACTATTGCATTGTGTCAACCTTCTATTATATTATGTCAACTCTTTATGACATTAACCCACACCACTATTGCATTGTGTCAACCTTCTATTATATTATGTCAACTCTTTATGACATTAACCCACACTACTATTGCATTGTGTCAACCTTCTATTATATTATGTCAACTCTTTATGACATTAACCCACACCACTATTGCATTGTGTCAACCTTCCATTACATTATGTCAACTCTTTATGACATTTACACACACCACTGTTGCGTTATGTCAACTTTCCATTACATTACGTTAAGTCTTTGTGTTATTAACTCGCACTTCATTTACATTGCGCCAATCTTCCATTGCATTATATCAGCTCTTTATGACATTAAGTCAAAACAATTTTATGTGGTGTAAAAATGTTTTTATATAATTTCAACTCATTATTACATTATGTGCACTCTCTACTATTTGGTTAAGTAGTTCATTACATGATGTGAATTTATCTTTAATTCAATATCAAGTCGCAATAACACGATGTCAGAATTTCATTACATGATGTAAAAAATTGTCACATGTGGCCAATTCTTTACTATATTGTGTCATCAGTATGCTACATGACGACGGGAATCTATTACATGATGTCAATTTTCCCTTACTTTTTGACAAATCATTATTATGTTATGCCATTGTATCTTTACATTGTGTCTAAAATGCTTAGCCTCTTGTCAGTATATCTTAGAATATTTTAACTCTTTATTGTTTGACGTAAGGTTTAGGTTATGCCTAAAAGTTCGTTTTGTGTTTTCAATATTACATGCACATATGTTAAACATGCAAATAATTTAAATTAAACAAATCAAATATTAAATTATACACAAGACTTAATTAATTCTTAATTAAATACCAGGTTAAAATTTATAAATAGGATCATGTTCCCGTGGAAACTTTATTGACGATTGTTTTTTTTTTAACGTCGAAATTCAATGGCCGTTAAATCTCATAATTATCGCAAATCAAATTGAATGTGTCATGCAGCAATATTTTCCTTTTTATTTTGAATTATTTTGAAAAGTCCGAAACTTCTGATCTAACTACAAAACTTTTTATCAGTCTTTAACCCTCCTTTAAAAAAAGTGTAAACACATCGTATTTCATACGTGCACTGGTGAGTGGGTGGGTGGGTGGGGAGAGAGGGGAATCTCGCCCTCCCATCTTTAATGACCAAAATATGCATGAAATTAATCAATTGGTTTAACTTTGTAGGACATTGCATTAGTTTCACATAAAGTATAACTGAAATAAGTTGAAACGTTTTATATAAAGAAAACTTAAGCCTGAGAGCCTCCAGGCTTTCACCCCCTGGTCCCCAACTTAGACACCATACCGCCCCCCTTATAGCTATTCTTTTCAAGAACCCTAGATCGCCACTGATATGTGCCTATGTTTACTGAGGCATGGTCAATTGATTTAAGTGAGGGACTGGTAGATTTCAGAATTCTAGTCCTGGAATGGTTGAAAAATGACTCATTCCAGTGACGTTGCTTCGTTTTTGAATGTTGGGGGAGGTTTGTCAGCCAGAAAAAAATCACGTACAAGAAAACGCAAAAAAAAAAAAATGTCCAAACTCGAAAATCATTTGTCGGGTGAAAGGGGGGGGGGGTCAAACTTTGATCAGTCCTAAATAAATTTCCAAATAAATATATAACTTATGATATATATTCTAAATAAATAAACAAATATACCACATTACCCATATACTTCAGCAAAAAGTGGGGCAGAATTTCAATGAACATTTTCTATGATAAAGTTATGTCGGAAAAAAAGAGGAAGCCAGACCCCCCCCCCCCTCATATAACGTGTCTGTAATTCGTCCTAAGTTTTCAGGACCCCCCCCCCCCCCTTCCCAGTCGTGAAAACAAGGTTATCAACTTTGACATAATGTAAATGTATTTTAAAGCACGTAATGAGCATTTGCAATCAACATGATAAAGAATTAACACAATGTAAAGATAGTTTTAAATCACATAAGAAAGAGTTGACATAACGTATTTATATATCCACATCACGGAATGGAGTTTTGACATAATGTAATAAAGTGTTGGTATAATATGGAACGCCGGGACTGTCTCCATAATATATGTACACATTATGTTATAAACCTTTTTACATCACGTAATAAAGCACTGACATAAAGGTAAGATGTTTTCACCTCACATTGTGATGACCTCGGCATAAAATAAAGATACATTAACATCACGTAATAATGCTTAAGTATAATAGAAATATACACTCACAAAAGGGAATGACTTTGTCTTAACGTAATGATAAATTTAATCATAGAACACAAGTAAAACGAAATTAACTTGACGTAATCCAATTTTGACCTCACATATTAAAGAAATGAAATAATATAAAGAAACATCCACTTCACGTAATAGTTTTAACACAATGTAAACATATTTTCAATTCACATAATGAACTTTGGACTTCAAGTTGTAAAGTGCGGACATAATGGAAGAATGTGTTTACTTCATGTAATGCAGCATTGACATGATGTAAAGATAGTTTTACATCACCCCATAAAAAATTGACATAACGTAAAGATATGTTCACATCACGTAATGATAGATTGACATAATGAATGCATAGTTTTATGCTATAAGGCAGTGATGGCGTTCCATAGTGTGGTTATTTAGAGCTTATGTTTCCCAATTGGCTGAATTTTGATCTCTGACGACAAAATGGTTTTTCTCGGTATTCAACAATGTTAACATCTTCTTATAACCCGCATACAGGGTTTATGTCTCTCAACTTATTCAACATGCTCTACATTTTACGTACGAAATTTATTGACAAATAAATTATTGATATATCCTGGTGAGCTTGAGATAAAAGATACCACAGAGTCTGACGCATCTGTTTCATACTTGGATATTTTACTTGAAAAATACGTTAATGGTAATTTAACAACAAAGCTATATGATAAACGTGATGACTTTGACTTTTCTATCGTCAACTTCCCTTAAATTACTTATGCAGCAATATACGTTCATCACCTGCATACGGAGAACACGTTTCTTAGTTGATTCTATACACATGCTCTACGTATGAACAGTTTCTAAAACTAGGTAAATTATTGACACGCAAGTTGATGGAATAAGAATATCAGAAATCTCATTTAAAGCCATCATTTCGTAAGGTCTATGGTCAATACAATGACATTGTCATCAAATACAATTTATCATTGAGTCAAATGTTGACTGGCGTTTTTTTTATCTAATTGTTAGTCAATTACTTATACACTGAATTGACAACGGATTTTTCCATTAGTTCCTGATCATGACAAGGAGCACACGGCAGGTGTGAACGGTCAGCAGGGGATGCTCACTCCTCCATTGCACCTGATCCCACCTCTGATGTTTCGGAGGTCCGTGTTTGCTCTGCTCCCATTTGGTATTGTTTTATGGACTTTGAGATTGAATACTGTTTGTTGTCTCCATATCCTTCCTTATTAAGGAAACAAGGATATCGACAGTTTTGTTTTAAGTCCTCATTTTGTAAGTTCCATGGTCGAAACAAGAATTTTTTAAGCGAATACAATCTATCATTACACATGCAAGTAAAGCGCTGAGTGACGTTGTTCATATTGATTGTTACGCCCTTATTTACATATTTTTCTCCGTCATTTCATGACAATTAGCACACAACAGGTGTAACCCGTTCCCATGAATGCTCATTTCTGCATTTCACGTAGTCCCAAAACTGATTTAAGGAGGCCGTTGTTTTGGTCTGCTCCTGATTAATTAGTTTAACGGTATATCTATATAATTAATACACAAGCATTAACAAAAAGTTTTGGCTATCTTTGTTGAGTATTTTGTCATTGCTAATTTGTAAGTATTTATTAATTAGAATTTTTAAATGAAACATATGAAGATAACAAACAGTATTCAAGATCAAAAGTCTATAAAACAATAAAAAATAGATGCAGAGCAAACACGAATTTAATATTATCGGAGGTTGGGTCAGATGCCATGGAGTGAGCATTCCCTGTCTAACGGTCACATTCGATATATTCTCCTTGTCATGATATAGAAAAAACGGGAAAATCTGTCGTAAATTCAG